AGCACCATTTTGTCTCGTCTGGTGCGATCCTTTCGGCGGGGTTGTTTGCTCCACGGTTGGCTCCACGTTGTCTGTGGCCACGGTGTATGGCACTTGTCGCATTGCCACCTGGAATCCGAAACACGGTCTGTCCAGATCCACGAGGCCTCACAACCTCCGCACACCAGGTAGGATCTTCTGCCCTTGCGTCTGGCCATCTGCCAGCCATCCCACCCATGCTTCTCCGTGATGCTCACCATGAGGGCAAGGCCACCGAACTCAATGGATGCACCCCAGACAAACGAAAGGAAGAGGTGCCAGTGCCCGGCAAGGGGTCAGTGAGGCTCACACCAGTTTGAGCCACCTCAAAGCTTTGAGCCGAAATCTTGAGCCAACCTCTTCCAGTCTCTCTCTCTCTCTCTCTCGGCAGCGTCTGGCTACAATGCAGGCTGTCCCACAGGGACACGCTGAGGAAGGACGATACATTGCTGGACCCGCAGTTGGGCAGGGCGCAGCACAGAAAGGAACGGGGTTGATAGAGTACAAAATGCTGAGCATCTGCCTCAGGCAGGGATGTCAGCAAACAAAGGAAATGCTAAGCTGCTAATCGTCTGCCACAGTGGGCAGGGATGAGGAGGCATAGGTGGTCCGGACAGGTTGGAGACGGTTCCACGTGCTTCTACATTGAGCGATGTCTTTCCACGGTGCATCCCAAACATGTTGGTTGATGAACTTTTGGATGACTTGGTCCACCCCTGTAGGCGGGAATCTTCCAGGGTGTGGCCGGTTTTGGTGCCACCAGGACGCAGGTCACGGGTCCGAAGGACAGCCGCAGGGTTGCAGTCAGCGCGTGCAAGGTGACCTGCATAGTTCCAACAGCATTTCAGATAGGAAATGCCCCAGAGGTCGTAGTTCTGCTCATGGAGGGTGTGCTTGACCAGGCGCCTGGAGCGAATCTCTAGTCGAGCCGAGGTGCAGGACCCGCGGTGCCAAGCTGACATGGCAAGCGTGACCAGCCTCGCGACCAAGAACTTGGAATAATGCCAGATGGGTGCGGCCCAAAGGAGGCAGGCTCCCACTGTGCAGTCGAGGAGCCGCAGCTTGCTGGACCAGCAGGCCGGGGCGACAAATGGGAGCCAAGCAAGCATAGTTGCGGACAGCAGCGCCGATGGCACCCCCCAGCCCAACATGCAGCCCAGAACTCGAGCGGTCTGGCCGGGGAGAATGGTGGGAACGGGCTGACAGACACGGACATTGGGAGTATGACAATGAATGTCCGTGTAAGGGTTGACAATGGCCGTGCACTTTGTCAGGTTGATGCGGAGACCCATGGCCTCCAAGCTGGCGCAAACAAGTCCTGGATCATGACCTCCAAGGTGGGGAGATCAGGGGCCAAGAGGAGCAAATCATCCATAGTGGCGATGGTGTAGAGCGTATGGACGAAGTGGGAGGACCATAGAGCATGATGTCGATGACAAGGCTGAAAAGGAGTGGGCTCTCTGGGAAGGTTTTGATAATCTGGGCCAAAGGGTACGGAGATCCTGCTGTTCAAAAGTAGGCTGGTGAGAGCAAGGGTCTCGTAGGGGCAAGAAGCACTTAATTTGTCCCAAAGTACCTCAAACAGGGCGTCCCACTTGAGATTGTCGAAGGCTTTCTCGATGTCAGCGTTGAAGATGATGCAGGGCGCACGCCATTCAGATGTCTTGTGGATGGTGTGTTGGACGGCGGCGCAAGCGTCAAGCAATTGGGCCCCAGGCCACAGCACTGGCCGCCACTGTAGAGTGGAATATTGGAAACAAGGCGGGCAAGGAGCATACCTGTACAGAGTTTGGAGAAGGTGGGAAGGAGGCCAATTGGGCGGGTCTGGGACCACTGGAGGGGTTGGGCGGTTTTGGGAAGGAGCGTGACTGAGTGTGAGTAGGGAGCCGTGCCAGGATGTGGGTGGTTGGAGCACGGCCTGGTTGAAAATGGAAAGGAGGTGGAGGCGAACCCCGGCATCATGGCATATGGCCTGCACAGATCTGTTGCCGATAGATGCCGATAGCATTCTCGAAGTTTTGTCCGGCTTCAACTTGGAGACGACCTGGCACAACTCAGTGTCTGTGTGTGTGAAGTAGCCCTGGAAGGTGGCATGCTACACGCAGCGTCATGGAGTCAACAGGCACTGGCGCGCCCAAATGGATCACTGCAGAACTGCTGCCGGAGATGTGACTTCAAGGCGGCCTTGGCTGCAGCTTCGGACGGAAACTGGGAGCACAGTGTGGGGAGCCATTGGGGGCGGCCTCTGATGCGGTATTCGGATAGGGCAGGAACCATTAGCAACTCTCTGGAGCAAGTCACTGGTCCAGGCCTGTTGTGCACGCCGACGTTCAGAAAGGATTTGTTTCCACTTTGCCCGGAAGGGCCCAGGAGCTGTGGAACGAGCCTGACGCAGAAGGTCCTTGATGGCAGGCGGGTCTCTGTATTTGAGGGATGGTTTGGGGAGGGCAGTCTCTGGGGCAACCTTCTCGAAGTCGTGGAGCTCTCCAGATCTTAGGCAGGCAAGGTGGGCTGGGGTGGGGTTGGTGCAGGTCCATTTGCGGCAGCGTGAGGGTGTACCTCGGTGTGGTTGGCACCAGGGCGGGAGAGCCGTAGAGGCAGTGAGAAGTTCATGGCCCGACCGGAGGGTTTCTCGTGCTTCAGGGACAGGGGCTGCCAAGTCTGTGGGCGAGATGGGTGGTCAGGAGCTAGTCCAATGTGCAAGGGCGGGACCGGTCGGAGGGTGGGATCCTGGGGCACCACCTGAATGGGATGGGGCATCAACGTCTCCAGAAACCAAACTCCGCGATCGTCGTGCGGTACATGGTGAAAGCTGTCCCCGTCCGCCTTCTGTTCCAGTGTGCAATTGGCATCGCCACCGAAGAAGGAAGGCATGTTACGGGGCTTAGCCAGTGCTTTAGACAGTCCATGCAGCTCTTCACTGTAGGATGCCTCACTGTGCCCGGAGTGGGGAGGTAAAAACTGGCAGCAAAAACCTTGCTGGATTCGACATGGTCAGCTATGCACCAAAGCGTGTTTCTCCACAGGTCTAACTGCACCACTCTTGTGAATGCCGATTTGCGAAGAAGGATGGTTTGCGCTCGAAAGCCACCGCGTTTGCGGCCGATGATGGCCCCAAAATCGCCGATAGTTTGGACATGTTTGGACAATGACCCCCTCGGGTTCTGAGCCCACCTTCTGTAGGAGAATGAGGTCAAGCTCAAGGTCCAAATTGGTGAATTGGTGACATTGTTCAAATCCTTGCCTGCAACATTCCAGGTGACCCAATCAACCCACCAAGGCTTGTCGCGGGCTCTGGACCGTCACTACGTGTTGTCTTGGAGAGTTGCTTGCACGGAAGAGTGCTCGACACCGAGGAGGCTGGCAATCAGCTGGGTGTCCACCCACCCTGATTCGAGAGAGGTACAGGCTGCCACCAGATCGCCAAACACGTGTGTGTGATCGAAACAGCTTGGCTATCGCCCGAGGTCCCAGAGTATACACGTAAAACCCGAAGCGGTCGTAATCCATCACACTGTGGCAATTCTTCCGCTCCTGGTTGGTTAAGGAAAACAACTTGATAAGGCTGTCTGAATTGGCAGCGTGTAAGGACAAGGGAAGTGTTTTGTCGCAAGCGCGAAGGTCCCAGGTCAGCTAGGAAGGCATGAGGCTCTTCCATTTGTAGGCCAGTCAAGGTGTTGAGAAGCAAGTTTGCTCCCCCTAATGCGAGTTCCCTCCCAAATGAGAAGCATCCAGGGTTCTCCTGAAGGCTAGCCACGAGAGGCTCAGCGAAATAGTTCCTGATTCAGCAGCAGCCCTTTCGGAACGCAGTGCACCCCTCTGTGCTTGATGTGTGGTCGCAGCCCATGATGTGCGACCTCGCTTGCACGATGGGGATACTACGACCTTCCAAGAACTGTGTCCCTAGCCAGCTGGGCTTCCGCACAGATGCGAGGCAAGATCTCGTCAGTTTTTGTAAACATCTAACGAAGGGGTCAGGCCTCCATGGTAGCCCTGGAGATGTATGGTGATGGATAACCTTCAAGTCGGAGAACTTCTTCACAGGGAAGAGCCTTCGATCCAAAGATGGCCAAAACGGATCCACACGATCTCTCAGCTGAGTGGGGAGTCACCCTTACTCGTCGTTCGGGCACGGCAGGCACGTCAGATTGAAGCACCTCGGACCCACGATCCAGCAAAGTCTTGTAGAGGGGACCGTCGGATGAGGAAGGACCTCTCCAGAACGATGAGATGGCTTCAAACGCGTTGGGATTCACTTCCCCCCAAGCGCGAACGAACCAGTCATCAGTCAAAGTGCCAGCGGGGCCATTGTGTTTCACCATGTTTCACCCTGAAGGACTAGGAGGATCTGAATGGCCGCCATCAGCTGAAGGACTAGCGGCAGAAGTCAACAAGAGCACCAAAGCACCCCCATGGATGGGTCGGTTCCTTGACAGGTGACGCATCTCTCTTGCGAATCTCTGCGACTGGTGTTGCGGAACGTTTTTCCGGAGTCGCGTGGGGACGAGGACACGTGATAGATGGGAAGGGGGGACGGATGGAAATGGGGGGCAACAAGTGGCAAAGAAGTACAGGCTGCCACACATAAGCATTCGCAATGGGGGTGCGCCTTAAGATCACCATCGCCGACTGGCTCACAGAAGCACAGCATTTTGGTGGGAACCTGCACACATGCCTCACATGATCCATTAGACTCTGGGCAGGTTGCCAAACTAGAAAACTCAAACAGGACCAGCACCAGGTTTACCCCTTCAAGTCCAATCTGGCCCAGTAAAACCTGGTCTTTGCCTGTGAGATCCTCGACCTGTAGAGAATCTTTTGCTGGTGCACGTGGCAGGTGGCAGCTACACTTGGGGAAAAAGGGTGATTGAGGGCCCCTCAGAACAAAGACATACAAACACCAATTCAGAAGCAAAACTCGACCAATCAATGAGGGCGAACTTGTAGTCGACCGGACCGGTGGACCGGGGTCGCCAAGTCTCGGAGGATGTACTCGTCCAAGGCCCGGTTCAACTCCTCGAGCCTTGCCACCGGCAGGCGGTCCGCCTGACGGGTGCGCCGGAGCGGCGGAAGATGGAGCAAGCGGTCAGATGACCTATGGCACACTTAGATCCACATGGTTCTTTAGAGGAGAGACTTGGAGGATTTGATGGGACTTGGTATGGATCTTTATGGGAATCTTTTTGGATGTGCCGCACTTGCAGCGTTTTGGTGCCTCATCTTCGGCGCATTCGCCAGCCCTGATGCGCTACCACAAGTGAGGAAGCAACCAGTTCACTTGAAAGCTGATGTACGAACCTAAACAGAAATGGCAAACACACACACACACACCCATCAGATACGTAGATCCTCGACCAGGTCTCCACATTGAGGAGTCACGTTCGGTCGGTGTGGGGTGCCGCTTCCGAACCCAACGGAGAAAGGAGGAGTGCCCCGGTGCCCCTGTCCCGTCACATCCACTCACCTACAGGAGACGACCAAGCAAAACACTCCTGGCGGCCTCACACGTACCTTTCACATACCAGGAGTCACAAAGGGGTGGTTAATGGACACCCCTTAACCTCTAAGGGGCTATGAATAGACACCCCTTAGGGTGTCCTGGTATACCTGAAATGGAACTCGTGAGGTGAAAAACCTCATGGACATTGAGAACTTCTGAAAAAGAGGCCATATATCCACATACATGTTCATTGCCAGTTGCAGTTGAACTCCTTCTCCCAATGCTTGTCATCCACCAGACCAGGCCCCGAACATTTTTGTTCAGGGTTTCAGCACGTTTCAGCTGCCTCCGGGTTCCGGGTCCCAAAAGAACTACTCCTTTCTCTCAACTCCAAACACCATGCAAAGCAAAACAACCAACCAAAACGAGGGGGACACCCACACCTCACTCCCCACGTGGCCCGGTCTTACCCCCCTTCCCCCACTGGTGGAAACCGCTACCGAACGGCCGGTCAGCGCGCTGCCTCCATGGCGGCCTCCGAGTTGCTGAGCTCCAACTCCCGTACCAACGCCTCGGAGACGGCGGCGGCGTGCGTCAAGCACGCCGCGGCGGCGGATGGTGGAGAGCCTCGTTGGGTCCAGAGAGAGCCTCGTTGGCTTCGTTTACACTTTGACTTGGCGTTTTTTTTCTCAAAAAAAGAAGGGCAGGACCATATACACAGTGCAGAAGAGTCTTTTTCCTTGGGGATCCGTGGAAAATGGTTGCAACAACACCCTGGAGTGTTGTGTCAGGTGAACACCTCGATCGCAAGATGGTCACTGCGGGTGGGCTTGGCGGCTGTTAGGCTATCCAAGAATCCCATTGGCAGCGATTTGGGCCAACACATGCTCAGATTCTTTTTTCTACAGCTCATGTGTTAAGTTGCACTTCAAATGCAACCGTGCCACTGCTACGAACGAAAGAACCACACGCAAAGGAATCGTTTAGACCGAAGGGTGAACATGGTGGAAAGATCATGAAAGCATACCTCAAAGGAGAAGACATCTTATGTACTTGGTCTTGCTTCGAATGGCCCTGCAGTCCTGCCCCTTTTGTGGGGCCCAAGCGTGTGGAACAAACGGCACAGCGGCAGAGGCTAAGGAGGTCGACCTTGTCTGGCTTAGCTTCCTGAAGAAGTATGGATTCATGGAGCAACAGTGGAACAACACCCTATCCCCTAGCTGGTAGACCTCCTTTCATCTTTCATCCCAATGCGACCATCCAAATCATGTTCCAAAAAGATCTATCTTTTCAATATGTTCAAACCAATGATTATACCAAAAGGCGGCCCTCCAAAGCCACACGTCGAAACCTTGGCAGCTCTTCCGTTTTCACCCCAAACCTCTCCGACTCGGACGTCGACCACCTATACGCACCGAGCTCGGTGGTTGTGTGACCGACGCCTGCCGGCTTACCGACACCGAAGGGCCCGCGGAAGCCGAGGCGCCAAGTCGTCCAGCACGAAGGTCCGCTTCCGGGGCGACATGGCCTCGCGCGAGTCGGCGAGGCGAGCCGCTGCGGAGCAGGTTCGTCTGAAGTTTGGGGGGTCGTGGTCTGTTTGGTGGAAGTAGCGTGGATGGTTAGGTGGAGGGTACCCACTGTTTGTAGAGCATTTCAATGGTCTTCTAAGGAGCCATCCCATCCGCTTCCATGTGCCATGTTAGTTCCACTTCTTGTCATAAAAGTTCGGCTAACCTCACCCACAGGGCATCCCAGGACATCCCTGCACCCTGTTTTCCCCCACAGCAGTGCCCTGCGTTGGAAGAGCCTTGCTGCCATCAAACGATCACCTTTGACCTGATGGACTGATGGACCAATTGGTCATCTGACTTCGCGGTCTTCAAGCTTGGCCTTCAAGAGGGCATGCTCCAAGCCGATTGTCTTCTTTTCAACCCATGCTTAGAGGGCAAAAAGAAAAAGGCATCGCTTCGTCTCAAATACTTATCCTTGAGTCCTTGAGCAATGAATGAAGGGCATACATCCAAGGCTTGTCATATGGGAATTGAACAAGCAACAGTGGTTTTGGGATCAAGAAGCCCAAAACGAGATCCCTTCAATTGCTGAAATAGATTTCAAGAACATTGGCTCCAACCCGGGAAAAAAGCACTCAAATCTCCACAAAAAAACACCGCCGGTTTCCGGTTCACACCGGTTTCACCGGTGTGCGTCCACTCCAACCGGCACCGCGGTTGGCTCCCAAGAGCCTCCTCCTCGCTGGTCTCGTGGCCAAAGGCGCGGATCAACTCCATCGCCGCCTGCCACTGAGGCGACTCAAACGGACCACTGCGTCGGACCACCGGTGTGGCGGTTCTGCTTTCGTGTCTGGGTGGCTCTTTCTGGCCGACTTGCGGTCTCAGTTAAATGTGGCGCGTTCGCTCGGCTCGCTCCGTCTGCCACATTTTGATTCCCCGTGATCGTATGTTGGTGTTGTGGCCCGCGAAACTCGCCTGCCACAGAACGTGCTCGTGACTCGAGCGTGTGAGAGAATCCGTGCATGGGGGGGGGCGGACTTGAAGCCCTATAGCTTTTTTGGTGCTTTTTCCGCCCCAAAACAGGTGGCCACGCCCACGTTTTTGCAGCAAAGTGGCCGCTGGTTGGGCGTGACAAGTGGTTTGCGGCCGGTTTAGGACATGCCGCTGCAGCTGCTCAGGGTGTTTTTGTTTGGGATCTTGCGGCCCTTTGTGCAGCAAGGACCTGTAAACCTTTGCATGAAAAACTCCTAGTGCCAATGAAAGAGAATTGCAGCCCGAAACATATTTCAGTCGGGGGATACCCACTAAATCATCTTCTGAAAGCAACCTTTGAGGTGCCAGCTCGAGGTTTCGAGGCCTCAAGTACCTGCTCTCTTCTGCTTTTGGTATGCATGAAATTCCGGTCCAAGTTACAGGGGGCATGACCAAGTATAACATCTCCTCATTCTAAAGCTCCCCACCTCCCGCTCCCAATGCTTCGGCCTGCAGCTTCAGGTAGTTCCTCGCGGAGCCCCCCCGCGAGGGGTGGCCCCGCAGGCACTGCCGGCGATAGGCCAACGAGATCTCCTTCAGCCGCAGGGGCGCTGCGCAGCACGGCGAGTGGAGCACGACGGAGAGCAACGGATCCACCTGGTTGCTGGTGGGGTGTGCGGTGGATGGCGTTTTCGGTCTATTCTGTGGCCACAAAGGGAGTTAGAAGGTCTCGAGCCAAATGTGGGTGAAGCGAAATAGGATAGATAGAACCCCCATGAACCCCCCAACTGTCTTCACCCGCTTTTCATTGTTTCACTCGCTTTCCAGGGCTCCCTTCCTCTCCCCTCCTAACACGCGCCCGGAACTCGCTTCTTCCCCATGAAGAACCCGTTCCTCCCTCTTCCGTCCCGTCCCATCCCAATGCGTCCTCGACCATGTAGCTGGACCAATCCCCAGAGCCCGGGAATCCCAGCAGGTCGAAGGCCTCCTGAGCCGCAGCACCGACCAGTGCCGCGGCACCGAGGACAAGCTCTTGGAGGTCCGACATCCTTCGTCCAACACGTCGCCGATCTCCATTGGACATCCCTTTTTGGATGGTCTATACATGCATGAGGGCGACCAACACCACATGTTTGTTGGCACATGTTCTTGAAGAGCTCAACGGATTGGTGTGAACGCTCACCATCCAAAAAAATGGCAGCAATCAAACACTTGTGGTTGGATTTTTGAGTCTTGGATGGATGATGTTACCATTTGATGAGCAATCTAATCTTGGTCATACCTGGGGTGGACATCTCAAGCACATGAAGATGAGGAAGCCTGCCTGACCCCACCTCTCTATAGGCTCCATGACACTTGGGGGGGTTCATAGTTACAAAAAGCAAACCGGCCAAGTGTTCACGAATCTGGAAATGCTTCTTTCTGGTGAAAGCACTTCTCAAGCAAAAGCATGAACCAACCCATTTCCAGCTTTCGAGTTGAAATGAGGTGCGGTTCACTTCGCTCGGCTGGTGAGTGTGATCCACCCAGCGCGTAGGAAAAGCATACCACTCCGACGACGCGGCGCGACGTCGACGTTCGCGTGGTTCGCGTGTTCCTGGATCGCTTCGTTGGGATCTTTGGAGAAGATCTCCTGGTAGAGCCAATCCTCTTCGTTGTATCCACCTAAGGCCAGGCCACACAGTGCACAGGCCACGTCTGGGAGACATTGAGTCTTGAGGTTCCGGAGGCCACGGTGGAGACCGGTTTTCTTGCGACCAAACCTTTGGAGCGCATGGTCCAGATGAGGAACGGCACAACTGAAACAAACGTCTGTTCAGGTTGAAGGTGGAGCAAACGATTTCCAACGCATCGTGGAAAGGAAAGAGGCTTCTTTTGCCTATCTGGGGAAAGGGCAGAAAAGGACACAGCAACTGCCTGACAACATTCACGCTCTACCCACTCTACCCATTCACTGAAACGACTTCGCGGAAGCGTTTCCAAACACGTGGACCGTCCAACAGCTTGCCCAAGTTCATCCATCCCACGGAAGTGAAGACTGAACATGCTCATACCGTCCATGCCGGCCTTCTCTCAGATGTGTGAACCTCATGCCACACCGTGCGGGTCCCGCTTCCATGCTGCAAACCCTCTTCCAACACGAACACCATGCCAAAGGCGACGAACAGCAAACTCGACGAACAGCCGACGAAGTGCTGAGGTTCTCTGAGGATCTCCATATGCTCTGGGTCCACCCCACACGACCCCGACGACCCCACACTCTCTGGGTCGAAGTGCCAGAGAAAGACCATGTCACGGATGAGTGAAACCGTGCACTTCGACCATGCCACCCACTTCCCATGTTTTGCCCTTTTTATCCACAAACAAAACATCGCCCCAAACAATCATGTGGATGTTTTTTTGATTTATCCCATGTTTGTGGAGATGTTTGTTTTGCCCTCCAATTCTGAGGATCTCCGAGGCCAGGCTCGACCCCCCCCACCCTCTCCAAGACGCCAATCATCGCGCCCAGCGGACCACCTAAGACCTGCCGAGACGCCCCCTCCAAGTGAGTGAGCCACCGCTCCCTCCGAGTGAAGAAACACCGAAAGGAGCGGGAGATTTGGTTGGGTATATCATATATCCAGAATATATCCCATTCCCTGAGCCCAGTGGATGATGGTTCAGTTTTCCTTTCCATCTCTAAAATAGTAATGTTCTTGTTTACCGACTGCTACAGGCAATAGGACACCCCGAAGATATTTGCACAGTGGTGATCTTTCCAAGATTCAGATAGATTATAGATTTGATTTTTGATTCTTTGATGCTGCTCCAGTGGGGCGTGCTAGGTGAGTGTTCCCAAGAAGGAACCAAACTGATGACACCAGTGTTTTTTTCTTACTAATCGGGAGCGGAACAGGACATCCTACCCCCCAAAGGAACATTTCAGTGTGTAAAACGGATGTGGCGAAACTTGTGAGAAGTCAATGTGCACTTTGCCATGGCCTTGGCGCAAGGGCCTGCGAAACCAACGTAGAACCCAGCTGCTACTGTAGTTAGCGCGACTACCGATACGGGGGAACAAAACCAACCTGAAGAAGGTTGATTCTGGAATCTTTTAACGGTCAACTTTGGAATTTTGGAACTTGGATCTTCTCACAACTTCAATTTTCTCCAAGATGACTCTGCTCATTGTTAAGAGCACGCGACGTCTATGGCAGCTTAAAACTGTGCTCTTTTGCTTTCTCTGCTTTCAAGCGCATCGCGTGCTCGTCAGCGGAAATAGAACTCCTCAGCGATACGATTGAACAAACCAACTTTTAAGTAGTGGACCATTCAATAAAATTACCAACATTCAGCAAGTCGCTATAGCCGCTATAGGGCATCAGCATGCGCATCATCGTCCATTTCGAGTGACATTGACCGATTGGTACTCGTACTCAGGTGTTTCTTCATGGCAAAAACGGTCCCCATGATCAACCCTTTGTGCTTTTGCTCCGAGAACAAAAGAACTCAGCTGGTTGAAACACAGTTTCCCAACAAACACATCCGGAACTAAAGTGCGTTACAGGAGATCACAATGGTCTGGTTCATGAGGGGAGATGGCACTGAGGATAGAAGGCACTGAGGTGCTCCACATAGCGGTCCCGAACACATCTGAACACCACAGTCAGTGCGCAACCCTGCTCGTGTGGCACATGCGGCCGTCCAGTTACGAACAACAGGGGCGGCTCATCGGCTCAAAGAATGATATGAGATTTGTCTTCAAAGCTTCCATCTACAGGTTCCTGGCTTCGTTCCACCTCTGCCGCTTCAACCGCCAGGGGGGAACTTGCGCCACCCGCAGGTGCTTCCCACCAACATTGTAGGGCTTTGTCTGTAATTAGACGCCTGCCTGATCTTTCACGTGTCCACCTGTCAAGTTGCTTCCGAGAAGAGGTTAAAGGCCTAGGCATCCCTTCCGCCACTCAATCCTATCGTTCCTCGCGCGGCAAAAAAACTCAGAGCCAAGATTCCCAGGTGCAATCTCCTTGGATTCGGTGCCGGGAATTTCCATGAGGTGCTGGGAAGAATCAAACATGCAACGTACCGTCCCGAAACTCAAAGAAACTGTACTATGCCAGCAACATGACAACGTCACAAGAAACAAGAAGCAGGCAATCTGCTACAGAATGACCCTGCCACCGTGTCAGCACGACAGGATTACCCAACGTCAGCATCTCCTCCAGATAACAACGTGGCAGCATGATAGGTGTCACAGGACGCCCGCACATATCAGCGTGACAATTGTTGCGCGCATATCTGCGAGCAGTATGTCGGCATATCTGCAAAAATGCTGCCGAGAGCTTGCTCCAGAACTCACACCTGCCCCGGACCCTGCTCCGAAGTCTTTACTATCAAGCTTCACTGTTGGGATAATCAAGAAAAATCGTTCCCCAAAACGTTCCTGGTAGTGGCACTAACAGTACTAGTCGAGTCCAGGGCCCAAGCAAAGCCTCAGAAGACGCTAGGCAAGGATCTCAATGGCAACGTATATTCAATAGCTGAGCAAGAGAAAGCTAAGGTGGGATACCTTTCCAGGGCCCAAATCCTTGCACCATTAACCCCAAAACATTTCAACACGAATACATTTCAGGGTGCTTGTGAACCACCTTGATTCCCCAAACAGTGTGGACACACTTAGGGGTGCTTAGATCGCTGGGGCGCGCCGACGTCAACGGCTAGTTCACTGCTATTTACAGTACATTCATGCCTCTCGAAATCGTCGACGTGCATATCGAATGCGCACGCTCGCGAAATCTGGGTGGCAGCGGCGGGTGCTTGTCGCGACTGTGCTCTCGTTGTGGTGCTGTGCGCATTTTCGCACATGGTGGTCACTTTTCGTGGCAGGCGCAAGGGAAACCTCGTGTTTTGGTGGTCCATAGTCGACTTTTCGTGGCAGGTGCAAGGGATTGGAGCGGTTGCACTTCGAAATGCGGAGTTTGTGGCAGGTGGAGACTTTGAAGCTCGAAATGCAGATTTCGTGGCAGGTGCAGCACTTTGTGAACCTCAAAGTGCAGATTTTGTGGCCGGCACAGCAATTGAACTGGTAAACCTCGAAGCCGCAGCAAACTTTGTGCTCTCAGATGCTCACTCCCTCACCTCACCTCACCTCACCAAACCTCACCTCACCTCACCTCACCTCACCTCACCTCACTCCACTGCACTCCACTGCACTTCACTCCACTCACGAGCAAAACCTTAGCAACAAAGCGCTGGCCTCGGAGGATGTGCCCAAGAACACTGACCTGGGCATTTCAGAGATTGCCCGTCCAAATGGGGCAGCGGCCCTGTGACCATGCCCCATCCCGACCGATGGCAGCCGGTGTGGCAACTTGCTAGCTTCGATCACTGCTGTCATTGCTTGAAGTGGAACAAAGGAAGCTGAAATGGAGCAGCACTGTGCTTGGGCGATGAGATCCAGGTACTGGAGAACATATGCCACAAGCGGCGGCCGGCTCCAAACTGCAGCTGCCATGAATGTTGCCTGTGACTGACAAAGGGCAATTGTGTCAGGATATGGTCGTAGATCAAATCGTTCAGGATTTGCGTCACACGTGGCCGTAGCCGACAGGAGGGTAGCTCGGTTGAGGAACCGGACCCGCTGACGGATGCTGGGAGCAGGCACATCTCGGAGGTGGTTGAAGAGGTATCGTAAGCAATTCATCCCCAGAGCCACTAAGCTCCACCTGACCTGCGACTTGTGTCCTGGCATGGGTCACCAAGGAGAAGTACCTTGCCTTAGCTCTGGCGCATACAAATACCCCATCCAGACCCAACCGCTGCTAAAAATGCTGGACACCACTTTTGGCACATCGGTAGTCTGGGTAGAAGGAGAAGTTGTCATCAAGTGTCTTGTTCCAGATGTGACGCAATTGGAATGCAAGTGAATATATCAAGATACAATTCAGAAACAAAACAAATACATCTCCAACGCTTGAATGAGGAACATAAACATGATCATCCCTGTTCATTTTACTCTATTTTCACTTGATGCTGCATCCTAACCTGTCAGTGTCAGTGAATAGGTGTCACAAAACTATTTGAGAGGGAGAGTGAGTGTGAGTGGGAGAGTGAGTGAGTGTGAGTGCGCGTACGAGTGAGAGTGAGAGTGAGCGTGAGTGAGAGTGGGAGGGAGTGAGCGCGAGTGTGAGTGCGAGTGAGAGTGACGGTGGGTGTGAGGGTGTGAGTGAGTGTGAGCGTGAGTGAGAGTGGGAGAGTGAGTGAGTGTGAGGACGAAGAGGCGGCGCTCGCCTGTGGAGGAATGTGCGCACCCCGGAGGACTTCGCCGAGAAGTCGTCACCAAAGAAGCCGCCTTTGAGGTTGTATATTGTGGCGGACTTTGCAGCGTCTGCAGTGGAACGCTCGGCAACACCCACCAGCTGGTGTTAAAGGGGCCCCGTCAGACAGAACAGAATCCGTGTTCAAGGGGCCCTTTATTTTCACGTAGACCATTTTGCTTTAAACCGGCTCCCCGTAGACAATATTACCTTTCCCCTGGTCCCCTAGACTCCCAAAAAGAATGGCATTCCAATCGATTCTTTTCTCGGATCCTCCCTGCCTGAATCCAATCCAACAGGTCGACTGACCTATAGTCTTATCCATCAGCAACGACCGCCTATGACAGCAGTCGTCCGACTGCTTCTGCCAAGCTTCGGGGTATGCCCTGCACCTCCTCCCGCGCCGCTGTGGGCGCATCCATCTGCCGGAAGCGCTCCCAGGCGCCCTGTGCCGCGGCGAGGTCGCCGGCGAGCGACAGGAGCACCGCGGCGTTGCGCCAGTAGAGCGGCACCAGAGGAGCCAAGGTGATCGCGTGTCTCAGGAGCTGCGGCCGGAGGGTCTGGAGCTGGTCTTGTAGGGAGTCTGGTGAAGGGTGGGGTTTAGTGGTACTGGCAGGTGGTTTTTTCAGCCCAATTTGCCAGACCGAGAGTCCGTGGAACAGGATATCCTTTGGTTGAATGTGAGAGAGGTCAGTTTGGCTTAATTCAAAGGGGTGGTCAAGAGGTTTCAACACGGGTGGGGTGGATTGTGCACCTTCATGTCGAGGTCTCCAATGGAATGCCCTGCACTACTTGTGGATCTCCAGCCAGGACACCTCGACATGAAGGTCTATGGATTGTGTGGATTGCATGGATCAAGGAATGTGGATCAAGGGGTCCGTACGACTAGCAGTGACTGGTTAGGGGTCCTTAAGGGTTCCTAGTAAGGGAATGAACGAGGCACACCGAGGCACGACGGGCATTGGGCTTGTGTAGGGTGCATGTGTCGTTGGAGATGGACCCAACGGATTCAATGGATCAAACGGCCCTATTCAAACGAATATATGGTTGCACTCTCTGAAGGCGCGGGGAACACATCATCGACCTTTGAGGCCCGGAACAAACACAGCGTATTACTGTGGCAAACCCATGCATATCCCATAGGGTCCAGGTACCCCTGATTGAGGATGGTCTTGGAGGTGAAAGTACTTCCAAAGAATGGTCTTGGGGGGGTCAAAGGACATCCTCAGGATGGTCCTGGACCCTTAGGGTATGTATGATGAGACGAGCAGGCAGCCACTCTTGAAGAGTAGAGTTCTCACCATCTGGCACACATCAGAAAGCCAAAGAAAACCCTGGCGATAACTGTGAGATCCTCAAAAAAGAGTCAAATGATTTTCCAATGCCAATTCCTCTTCCTCCTCCTTCCAAACCATTGCAATGTGCCTTTCTTCTTCTTCTTCCAAACCAACCAAGGACCCTGGGGAACTTCGTTCGAAAAAAAGGAACGACTTCCGCCCGCCCCAGGACTCTGCCGCCCAACACTGCCCCAAGGACTCTGCGGCTTGAAGCCCTTGTTGCACCTCACCGGGGAATCGAAGCCGCTCCGAAATGGCGAGGCATGTGAGGCATGGGTGAATTTGAGGAGAAGATAGGAGAATCGTTGATTTTGGCCCAGGGACTTTGGGTTTTACATGGTTAGTCATGTCATTGCGATGACACAGGGGTAGCCTATAGTAAGATGGTTTGTGCATGTTTGTGCATATCTTAGTGAGTTCTCCAAGCAAATGGCCCAGTTTGGGATGTCCGTCAAAACGCAATGCCCCAGCCCTACCCCTTCAGAGCCCCTCTCAAAAAGAACGATCTACGGCGTGGTTTCAGATGGCACAACGTCCAAGATGACTGACTCTTAGATGGGGGTCCATATAAATCACCACACTGGGGGTCACCTGTGCCATTTCTCACCTCTCAAATCCACCAGATACAAGCCAGTACCAATGTTGAGCCTGGCACCGCCTGCGAGCGCCCGCGGGCCGTTCTTGCGGGGCCACGGATAGACTCCCGATGTCACTCACATCTCGACCCTGGCGGTCCGTCCGTCCTGGGTCTGGTTTCGACGATGTTTCCTCTAGCAACCAGGGGTGTACTCAGGTTCCATGGGATCGTTCGTTCTTCCAGGGCGGCATGTCTTCCTGCCACTCCTATCGATTCGATCTCCTGTTCCTGCCGATTCTGGAAAAGCAACCACTGAAAAACGCCGCTTCTTCGACGCGGTCAAGTACGGCAGACGGGTCAAGAATGGAATCGTTGGGAAGACATCCATCAGAGATATACCAGTGATTGAAACACATGTGTTGAAAAACACCGACCATGAAATACCTCGCTTCACCTAGCTTCGCTCTTTCGTTTGACATACCAACTGGTTTCCCCCGGACACGCTTCTCGCGGCCCCAGGCGAGCCGTTTCCGAATCGATCATCCTTCACTCTTCCAAGCGGCCAGTGGCATGTTCACCGGTTGGCTGGAGAGCCCCAAAAGGACCAGTGCACATGCCAGGTTGTTATGCCCTCAGTCCCACCCGCGTCCGCGCGTGTAAACGGTCCGCGAGCGGGACTCATGATGACCAAGGAGAGGGTTTGCACATGTTGCAGGGAAGATCCCTTTCTATAAAATGCCTAAGGCCTAAGGCCTTTCAAGGCTCAAAAAAAATACCTCGCTATAGAATGACCCCCTAATTTTAGGCCCTACAGTAGGGCCCTGGATTCTATAAGGGAAGAAACGTTTCGTGGATAGATTTTTGGAGCAGTATCTTGCAGGGCCCACTCTGCTGTCACATGGCGGGGGCAGGTTCGTCCCACTCTGTCCTGTCTATGGCCCCCCGGAGCCAAAAAGGATGTAAAGCCAGTAACAGAACCGAACCTTCTCCAGTTCGGGACTGTCAGTTTCAGCTTTCAGAATTCCCCCCAAAAGTCAAAAGAGACGTGCCAGAGAGATCCCACTCGATCGATTGGTGACTCCAATGAATCGCTGGACCAGCGAAGGATCCAAAACTGGAGGGATGCTTCAACTGAGTGAGCCTCCAAACCCTTCATCTTCCCTCCTTTCCTTCCATTGGTTAATAGAGTCCATATACTCAGTGATCAATCTCTTGGGTCTATCCTATTCCCAAATGATGCTTCAGTTGCAGGCCCTTTTCAATCAGAGTGAGAATGTATTTACTGACTGTTACAGGTAAGCTCGGACAAACCGCACTGAATCCATATCAACATATCGGTCTACCACTACTCGTGCTATGAGCAACCACTCTTCTTCCAGTCACTCGCCAGTCACTCGCCATCCACTCACGCACCGCTCGTGCTACTCGGCTTCCCTCGATCATCCGGTGACCGCGTCGCGCCTTTGGGAAAGCTGGGGTTCGTGATGATGGCGTTCCTGAGCGGCCCAGCGAAAGCGCCAGCGGCCAGCTCACCAAGTGACTTAGACCCCCAAAAGGAGCTAACGTGGAGGGCATGGCCCCAAGTTTGGAAGACCATGCAAGCCTCTGCAAACAGTGGGCGCCATCCACTTCCATGCTAGTTAGTTCCAAAAACAGCAAGTTCACAGGTGACATGGTGGTTCAAGCACGACTCGTTCCTGGCTCGCTCTGAGGGGAAAAGGGTACCCTTGCTTGGGGTACCTGGGTCGCACCGTTCACTCCCAACTCACAACCGGCAGCCACAGCTCAACAGGGTGGCCAAGTCTAGAACAAAGGCCCACTGAGTTGATGCAGCCCCGGCAAATCATCAACTTGGTATGAGTAGAAGCTGCATACAGCAACTTTCGTCAACATGTCAAGTGGTCTAAGTAGAGGTTTAGGGCGAACGGTTGCATCTGATGAGACAAACAAACGACACCTTTTGTGGTATTCCGGTCTTACACATATATAGCCTGGACGTTCATTCTTTACGCTGTTAGGTCATCCACTCCATTTTGGCTTCCAACGATTTTTTCCCACCCTCCAATCCTCCAAGCGGTGATGGAAAACCCCTCCCGCCTGAGACAGCTTTGGGGAACATGTCCCACGCCAAAAAAACCGTCTGCAGCCGGGGGGGTGAGGCGGGGCACGCAAAACCAATGCTGCTTGGAGCCACCGTGACACCCCCAAACCTTGCGCCTGGATGCAGGAAAAACGCCAGGAACCGTGAATTCTGATGGGAACCCGTTTATTTTGTTTTTGTTGTTTTTTTCTTCAAACCCTTTTGTCAAACCCTCTCCAGGGTCGACCCGCTTTAACATTCCCCCGGTGCGCTCGTCCGGTCGAACCGAACGACGCTTTAGCGCGTTTCACGACGTCCAAGGCGCTGGAAGTTCTCCGCCGCTTCCATGTGCTTCCCCACGTGCCACAAGGCCAACGCATAGTCGTGCCAGACCTCGCGAGCCGCGCAAGACGCCGAACTGGCGCCGGGTATGGGAGGCCATATGTTGGGAGCTAGCTAAGTGGGCAGGGCTATAGTGGAGCCCAAATCTTCATGGCAGCCTCTGAAACTAGTGTGTATATATATATATATTTATATATTTTTTTTATTCCATTGCACTCATTACTACTGAAAGGATATTCCATGATATTCCAGCTTTGAAAGATCTGTAACCAGGTTCAACACACTCTTTCTCTTCTTCATAAGAACATTCCCCGCATGCTTCATCAAAGGGTCTCCATGTACATGAAAAAAGGCACATGAAAAAACACATGATGAAAACGAAAGCAACATCAAAGTAGAAACAATAAGCTACTAGTAACAAGTGCATCGCTACTAGTAACAAGTGCCTGACTAGTAGGAACAAGAAGCTACTAGCAATAATAAATGATTTGTCTACCCTCAGTCTGTGGCTGTACGATTTGCTTAACAAAAGCCCCACACCCACGTGTGCAACACGCAAACTGCTCGGGACCTTGTTTCAAAGGAAAATGGAGTGAGCATACATCAAGCAGATCTGGCTCGTTTTAAGGGTCCTTACATGTCCTTCGATGTGTATTTTTTTTCTCAATTGTAGAGCCATGCAAATCCTGATGCCATGACATGCACCTGCTCTGACTTCCAGCATTTTTCGGATTGCATCTTCATATGCTTCAGCTGTTTCGTCGGGGAACCCGACGGGTGATCTGCCAGCGAAGCATCTAGATGGGTCATGGGTTGAGTGGATGGCCCAGAATGGACACTCTTCCCCCACTGGGCTGGTTGAAGAAGGACATCGGCTAGAAGAGGTGGACACAAACATGAGCTGGTCGCGTAGCTGCGCGTAGCTCAGGAACCAACCACGGAATGTCATCCACAGCAAAAACGTATGAAACACATGCATCTGCATGTGGCTAAAAACACACACAAAACGGTCACCGGCCTGGCTTTTGTGACTGTTGGCCACCACGAGGAGGGCATCTGTTTCTTGCGTTTGGTATTTCTTTGCATTTGTCTTACTATTTTGTTTGTTTCCTTTTGGTACTATTTGGTTTTGCTGGCTGTTGGTGCGCTGCCCGCCCGTTCGGTGCCACTTTCGCGTGGGAGCTACCAAGCCTCCTCCTCGTGCAAGGTCAGCGGGCTGAAGTAGCCGGTGACCGCCTGACTGATGGCCGGACGGTGGTGACCGCCTCACCAGAAGTGACCGGTCATTGCATCCTAGACCTTCCTTGGGTGGGTTTTATGTTTAAGGTCCACCCTGCCCTTGGAAGACCCTGCCCTGCTGTAGTTGAAGGATGTTGGGGGGTCTGGTCAAGCACCATCCACTCTTGCCAAAATGTATGTCAAGAGTGATGGGGATGGATCTGACGGTCTTCTTTTTTGACTACCTTATACTATCTTATACTGTGTCTTGCTCTTTCTTGCTCTTTTTTACTCCCCCTTTTTTTTAAACAGTGTTTAGTCTTTTTAAGCTTAGAGTAGCTATTCACCAGATTCAGGTATTGTTTTAAAGCATTGAATCATCATAACCACTTCCCTGAATGTTTGCCAATCCTTTGTGCACCTGCCAAAACATAAACAAGCGTTAAACAAAAACGTAAAACATGTAAAACACATTAAACAACTGTAAAAGAGGAACACTGTCAGCCTCCCCTTGTGATTAGCTGTGCGAACAGTATTCCTCCTTCAAATCACCCTGGAGACCCTGGACTGGTACACTAAGCGCACGATGAGCCAACAAGTGAAAATGTCATTCAAACTCTCCTCTAAAACATTCCACTCTCAAACTCAAAAAAAAGCGTAAAGACTCTTAACAAAGGAACACCATCACATCAAGCGCGTCACTAAAGACAAATGTGCCGAGTTTAGGATGTTTGAGGGAAGAAGGTTTGCACGTAGAAGAAGATCCCAACTTGTGTTTTGGGCAGCAAAGCCCTGATCATCTGCATGACCTGTGTGGATTCTCGTTTTGGCTAAGGGGCAAACATAGATTGGATGGAGGGAAATGCTGAGGTATGAGGGCATCGACCCACGCTTCAGCATGTTTGTTTGTCGGCCACGCCGTCTGTGTTATTTCACCGCTCCACAGGTTCTTGCGCTATCCCTGACGAATTTAACGTTCTGATGGACCAAGTCCCCTGCCCCCGAATCCCTGATCATCCCTGATCTGCCCTTGCCATACGAGCAAAACTAGCAGCATCGGAGCACCCCAAGCCCATGCAGCACCGTCAACAGCATGGCCAAGCCGGTCCAGCCTTGTGGAGAAGGGTCTCCGCCTCCTGGTAGTGCCCTTTGTACATCCTCAGCGGCAAGGTCGGTTTCTTGTTAGATAATCCTCTGCCACCCCTTTTGGGAGTTCTAGAATCAACCCCCAAAAGCCAAGAAACCCTGGACCTTACCCCGAACACAGGGCGCCGAAGCAACCGCTCCAGCAATATCCTCAGAAGGTGGATAGATCCCCAAAACCTACCTCAACCACACTGAAACGGAGGTAGTTGGAGTCCTAGGGCTAAATCATCGACGCCTTACAGATAAACCTTTCTGCCATGCTGTTGGGGCCAAATCAACGCCTCTCTCCGCCCACATCGGCCCGTTGACCAAAGAAGGGACGTCGTGACGTCCTTCTAACCTGTTGGGAAGACAAAAGCCTGCTCGGCAAAAGAGAACGTGGAGCAAAGGCAGAACCGAAACCTATAGAAACAAATGTTTGCAACAATGGGTGCCCGTGTCCGACAAAAGCAGGAACAAACCATGAACATCCCGGTCTTCTCAAAAAGTTTATCTCCCGCGGTGTTCCTCCACATTCTGACCCATACCCACATCCTGACCAGCGTGCACATTGAATCTATTGGTGGGACATTCTGAGGGTCCGGCATGGCTTCGTCCAATTGTTTGATGTCCGGTTCATTTCTGTGCAAAACAACACGGAACATCCTTCTTGTTGGCTTGGGACGGCATTTTCTGAACAGGAAGGGGCTGACCTGAGTGGATCACCATCTACTTGGATGATTGATGGTGCTTGTCATCCAAGCTGCAGGATTTGCCCCGCATGGTAGAGCGGCTGCGAATCGCGCTCCTGGCCAGCAGCTCCACGGCTTGGACACAAAACGATGTGATGCGTGATGTTACCACAGAAGGGGGTCGTTCAAGCCGTTTTCTATAGAAAATCATCTAGAAAAAAGAGGTTTCACACGCCCTGCCGGAAGATATGTCAGGTTTGCGTTTTGAGACTTGCGCACGCACGGGGGGCACGGTGGCGGTTTGAAAAAGGGGTGGAGGGCGGTTGAAGTCGCTGAATGTAGCAAAGGGTCGGAAAAGCCGACCTGCAAGAGCAAATGAGAGCACACAGGTCCTGAGGTGAGAGCAAGCTACGCATGCAATTGCACGCTGCACGCACACATGTGCGAGCGCGGGCATGAAGAAGCACACTCACTATATGTCTTATGTGAGCAAGCTCATGAGAGCACACAGCAAGAACAAAGCTGTGAAAGAACACGCACATGAGAGAACATGTCAGAGCATACAAAGCACGCACACACACACACACAGGTGAGCAAACCCAAGAGAGCACAATGAGAGCACAGCTATGAAAGAACGTGCACACGAGAGCACACATTTGAGAGTACACAAGTGAGTTCGCACATGATACAAGGAACCTGCACTTCGAGGTTTACAGAGTGCGGTGTTGGGACGCGACTGCGAGCCGTCGCTTCGGCTGCCAATTGGCCTAAGTCGGCCGGAACGTAGCGCTGTGGCTATCGGCCATGCCGTGCCGCGGAAGCCGCCGTGCCGGGCGGGCCTTGATTGATCATTGCAAGGGTCAGGGGCACCTGTCGGTAGAACTGGAGTGGAGCCCTTCGAAGGCATCATCTGACTGTTGAACTTGTCACTTGTGCTTGAAATATTTGATTTTGGCCAGTCTCTCCTCATCAGTCACTTCCTGAAGAAGACCGAGGAGATCGATCAGCGAAGCTCGCTTTGACAGGGGGATCCAGCACAACAGTCTGCTTGGCCTCCAAGCATGACATGTGGCCGTTATGCCTGGGTCTCGCACGCGCGCACATTTTGGGGTTTGAACGGACGATTATTGTTTCCTTTACAGTCAGTCCGCAGCCTTCACATCAGGTGATGGCCAACAATACCGCACGTGACTGCACCAATTCTGATATTCTGATATTTCTGACAAGCCAGGCCGCTTGGATGCACACTCCTGGCCATTGGATGCGTGTCTTGCTGAACATTGCACCACAGGAAGCACATCTTCCACTACTTCACGGTCCGGACTGTCAAGGGACTGATGACGTGGCGCTGCCAGCAGAAGCAGTGCGGTCGCATGACCGTGGAACGCTGGTCGGTCCTGGTGGTCGGTTCGATGGTACGGTCGCTGGTACGGTCGCGGCTAGCGGTAGGTACTCGACCTACACTGCGACTCACAAGTTGACCCTTAGCAAGTTAGGAACTCGGCATCACGAATTCGTGGTCCAAATCATAATTAGGGTCCAGTCCCAGGTAGCTGCAAGTGCGTTGCCTCCTCTTCCTTGTCAAATAACCTTTGGTCAGTATTGCAGTGAAAGCATTTACCAGTGGGCTGACGAAGGCAACGAACCCAAATCCAGCTGCAGCTCTACTGGTGCAAACAGAAGGGTACAAGGATCCGAGTAAAGCTCATGAATCATGGGTGTAGTGTTCATCAACGTCAAGTGCTCGCGGACAGTGAAATCATGTGAAATCAAGCCAGTCAATGAACGCCGGCTTGTTTTCTTAAACTTAAGAAGGCCGACGGCTCAAGATGACGTTTCTGAGATTGTTATGGCGAGAATCCTGATGTAGTACCCCATCGTTTTTGCAGTCGACAATCCTCCAACTTCCTTCACTTCAAGAGCTTCCAGGACTTGATCCCTTCAAGGACTGATTTGCAAATGCAACATGTCTCCATCAAAATGATTATTTGGTGCGCAAATCGCGACCGATGGCTAATCACAAATGTGAGAGGCTCATTAAGCAAAAAACTTGAGGCGTAGCAATTTGTGATGCTTAGTCTCATCAACAACGATGGCCCCGTCGTCACTGTGGCTCGCGATCCATCTGTTCCTGCCAGGCCAGTGTGTTGCAAAGACGTCCAGCAGCCACTGTAGTGACTGGCGCCATCATTCAATGTTGACTAAGCCCATACGCAAACCGCATTCGACTGAGCCGGTGATGACTTAAGCCTTGCGGAGGCGGATGTTCATCGCTTCCTCGATGATCTTGGTGACGGCATTCAAGATCTTGAGTGTCTTAGTTTTCAGCCCCACATTGTAATAGATGTGTTTCATGCAGCCAAAGGTCTCCATGCTCATCCTGATGGGGGGATCGGGTCCTGCACTGCGATCTCGATCAAGTTCCCATCATCCAGACGGGCTCATTGAGCTCACAGTTGAGGTATCCCACGTTCTTTCCCCCTTCCGAATACCAAAGCAAAAAGGAGTTGAAACCATCAAAGCAAAACAACTAGAGCAACACCAAAGACAACCATCCTACCTTCGTTCTCCCCCCCTTGGAAACCTCCACCGCCGCCGCCCAACTCGATGCCTGCGGATCTGCGGCCACCGCGCGGCGATAGGCGGCTAAGGCCTCGTCCATACCTTGGAGATGCGGCGAGGGGGGACGCAGGCGGTTCCTTTGGAACATCTCTTGTTGGAGGACCGTGCGGATGTTGGGTGGAACATTTTTGGATCCTTTCCTCTTATCAACTACCAGTACAAATTGCAGGGGTGCAGGCAGGAGCCGTGGAGAGGTCATCATCAATAGCCAAAAAGCAACTTGCAGGTTCTTTGTCGCCGAATGGCTCAGCAACCACGCCGGTTCTTTGCCGTTGCAAGTCGAAACAAACCAACGACGCGTCACTTCCACGCTTCCACGAGGGATCTGGACCAAGCCAAGGGACGTTGCGACTGCAAATAGAGGTTGGCCAGGTTGAACTGCGTCCTGCGGAGCCCGACCGGAAGACGCCTGTCTTCCCATCCTGAAACAGGCCCATTTTGAAGCGTGAACGGGAGTTTTGGGAGAGGATGGATGTTATATTTGCTGCTAATATTGCAATCTTTCTATTGGGAGAGGATGTTTCTTGGAGGGAATCCAACTGAAAACAATTGTCGAACAGTGATGGAACCCACTTCAGAACGTGGGCGACAAAAAACGTACATTAGCGGCGGACTGAAGCACGCCCTGTAAATACCTCAGGGTCCATTCCTTTAATTGTTCCGCACTAAGCACCAGTCAGTCTTGCAGAAATATAAAACGCACCGACGTTTCCAAGCTGAAAGACCGAACATCACAGCATGTGCGGAAGAATGCGCCAGTGCCGGTAGTGGTACACGTGTTCCAACCAAACCGTCGCTTCGAACGCGCCAGGTCCAAAGGGCTCAGCTCCGCCGAGATTTGGGGCGTTTGGTAGGGACTTTCTCGCGGTCGAAAGCTTGGGAGGGGGAAGGTGCTAGAATCTGTCTCCTCTAATGTCCTATTGAAGCCTTTCGAAGACATCGGAGCACATAGCTACTAGTAACAAAGGGCATCGCTACGAACGGGGCAAGGACGCTAATTACGAACGTAGCGCCTGGCATGTCATCTTTCCGTCCTCCCGGATCCAAAAGGTCTCACGGCGCGCGTGGATCATGCTAAGTAGCTCACGCGGATGCTTAACCTCCCACCTGAAATGAACTCATTCGCTGCCCAGAACATTTCAACCCTTTGGCGCACATGATTTTTAAGACCACTTTCATCACCACCCCCTAAGCGGGGGGTGTCGGTGTCTAATGGCTAGCCAATTCCAAGGGCTGTGGAAAGTATGGGTTCATGCCATGCTGGTTGCACATCCGGAACCTTCTTGGCGCTCAAAAAAACACATGGGTGGAATATGATGGTTGGGTGCAATATGGTACAATCAGAATTATTGTTTGTTTTTTATGGTTTCTTGTGTTCATAAATTTTCATGTCTTCACTGGCATATTTAGTTTGTAGTATCGCAGTGTTTTATCTGGATCACGTTTTGATTTTAAGTTTTTTGATGTTTTTTGGGCATCCAGTTGCGTTGGCATCTCGTCAGGAAACAATGACATTTTTTTTTTAAAGCGTCGCTGGCCAATTCTGCTGTGACAATTGCCCACTCCTGGGAAGGTTTTAAAAAAAATCTGGAACATTTGTTTTTCAGATCTTGCCAGGCTTCTTCAATGTCTTTCATGATTTTGGTTTATATATTTTTTAAAGCTGTGCAAAGCTGTGTATTTCCCCAACTGCGTTTCTAACCAGCTGGAAAATTGCAAGCACAAAACTGAGCTCTCTGTGATCTCTGGGCCATGTGGACTATCTGTAATTTCCTCCATTGACTCAGCCATTGCTCCTCAGAAAAGCTGAGTGACATTGAGATACGGTCTGAACCAGTTGAAACATATTGAAACATGAAGCCAGGAAGCTGTCAGGAAATCTCAGATTGAAGTTGCAAACAAATCAGCCAACATGATATCAAAAGAACATCAAAAATCAGCAAAAACAGCAAAAATCTTAGCCAGCAAGTCGCAGCAAAAAAATACATTTTCTAGAAACCATCAAATAACATCAAAACAACAATTTCAAAAACCATCAAACACATATTTTCAATAACCATCGCAAAAAAAAAACCACAAAAACATATCCACAAAACATTAAAAAGTCTCAAAAGCGCTTGTGGCTAACAGCCCGGCGTTGGTCACAAGTCAGTTTTTTTTTCGCTTTTTGTTGATGTTTAATATAGTTTTCTTTTTTCAAATTGTTTTGTTTTTTTGAAGAAAATATCAAAACCAGCAAAAACAAAAACTTCAAAAAACACCAAAAACTTCAATCATATCGATTGTCAAAAACCATCAAAAACAAACACTTCAAAAAACACGTGTGACTAACAGCCCGGCAGTTAGTCACAGGTCGTTTTTTTGAAGTCTTTGTTTTTGATGATTTTGGATGGTGTTTCAAAGAGCTCTTAAAGTTTTGAGAAGTTTTTGGCTTTGATGAACACATCGAACATCAGCAAAAACAAAGACTTCAAAAAACAGGAGGAACATATTCTGAACAGAGTTGTTCTTTTCGAAGTGGGATTTACACAAACAGGGACAGCGGGCTAATGTTTATACGTGGCTCATGTGGCACATGTCAAAGAAAAAATACTCCGGCCTGTGTTTCTCAAGCCAAGCGCAGGTGCTCATGGTTTTATGACATCTTCTTCGTGTTGCAAAACCCGAACATCCAAACTTCCGTTCGCTTGTGGAAAATACTACTGCCAAGCGCCCGCACATATGGAAAACAGAAGGCTTCTTAGACTGTTCTCTACTCCTCTTTCGGTTCGCCCTTTCCCTTTGCTCTCCGAGTTCGCTTTTGCGGTTCGGGGTAGCTTGGCGGCGGGAGCTGTGGCAGGCGGCACTGATCACCGCGTAGCTGATCAGGAGCTCTTGGTTTCAAGCAATCTGGCGTGTCACCTCGCAAACGATCGTCCAGCTGCACAGGCCATGCTCTGGCACACAAATCAGTTTGCAATTTGGCGCCTTGCACATGCGCAAGATTTTCAGCTCCTGGACTGCTGCTGTGATGTCGCTGCGCTTCCTTACTCGGATCTGGCCGCAAACTATACGAACCGAATGAAAAAACTTCAGCAAAAAATGCCCCAAAACAGCCGCAGAAGATGCTATGAGCACACATGCCAGCACCCCGTGCAGGTGTAGGTGATGTCTTTGATCGTTTCACGCCTCATTTCATGACTCAGCCGGGCGTTTCGGCTTATGGCCAGAAAAAGACCTGACAGGTAAAATCGTGGCAAGTTGCAGCTTCTTCACAGCCACAGGAAGGCTGCTGCAAGAGCGCGAAGAGTACACAGTACCGAAAGTGCCGTTGCCCAACGTCCCTTCTAGCTCGTAAGGAAAGCTCTCTGCACCCTGCATAAGAGCCAACAGCTTCACCACAAGAAGACGTTCAGGTGGCGGTGGCGAAGTCGAAGAAGAAGAAGAAGCCAAGGCCAACTCAAACGCAGCACTGGCACCGACCTGCGCGGAATAGCCGACAGAAAGCGTCCACTTGAAGTCCGCCAGCTTCTGCTTCTTGGCCTTGACCTTCAAAGAAGACATAGTGTCGAGACATCTGCTTACCCACGACCGTGCTGCGTTATACGTGACCGAATTCTTCCACTCAATCAGCGCCGTCAAGGCATCCACACGAACACTTTGCACGGCATGTCCTCTGCACTGTGCTTCCAAGAGCACCCTCTGCGCATCCTCATCGCTGGCCCCTGTCCACTCCACCTTCCACATGGCTCGCTTTGTCGCGAATGGCGCTTGTCATTGTGATTGTCGCTGCTGATGCTTTTGTTGCCAAGTTGTTCCTACATGTTCCTGTGCTTCTTGCTACTTCTTCTTCACGTGTTGCAGGTTTATATGTATATGATTTTGCTATTTCTGCTCTCCTATCTAGCCGGTTGATTCATAACCCCCTGTATTCCCCTGTCTAAGTGATCAAATCATGTCCGTATGGGCGGGTTATCAATCAACTGTCTAAATTATTGCTGTGGTGGTTCTGCTTCGTCTCTTCAAACATATTCATATATTATTGTTGGGTGTTTCTTTGAAAAAAACGGTTCGGTTTCATCCTTTAGACTGACCTGGGAAGTGGAGGGAAAAAATCAAAGCGACTTCTGAGAGCGCAGTGTGTGTGTGGGGATATGATGGGATGTGTGGGGATGGACAGCTTCATACAGCTTCTGTTGAGATTTGTATCATGTTCCATTGTTTTGCACAGGGCGCTGCCTGGTTAAAAACACCAGTGGTTACCTGAATCGCCCGTGGCACTGTGGATGATTTTTATGTCTCTGCAACATATTGCAACAGACTTTTGGGCTCAAATCGCCCAAGCATATCCAAGCATTTCCGGCGAGGCTTCGAAGTTGTTCCTGTACTGCCTGTGGTTCTTGGGAGTAAATTCTTGATTTGATTTGGATTGAGTTTTGCTGCGTTGCATTTTTCAGTATGTCACAATCCGTTACGCGATGATACAAGATATAACCTTCTGGGATTCAAAGTTGGGAGTTTGGCCTCACATCGCTCCAGTTTTCCTGTACGTTATAAATCTAACCAGCAAGTCTGAGCAAAAACATAATACGAACACTTTGAAAATCATAAAAACGATCCAACACAAAAACGTCAAAAACATCAAAAAGGCATAGTGAAAAGTCATCAGTATCATCAAACAACAAAAACTTCAAGAAACATCGTTTTTGTCTTTGATTATTTTAGAAGAGTTTTTGAGAATCAGGTTTGGTCTTTTGCAGGTGTTACCAGGTTTTCAGAATCAAAATAGAGACACCGGGTCTTCCAACATTCCGCAGCCGTTTCCGAACTTCTCGCAGCCATTTCATCAACCGGAAGACGGGCTGCGTCTGGGACCCAGACGCGGGAAAGAGAGATTGTTGCATTCGAGTGGAGCACACCAACACCAGTTGTTCACAGATTTGAGCTTGAAAAGGCCTAGTCATGGATGTCGATGGGGTTGAAGGCCACGAAACAGGCTTCAAACATTATTAGGGCACAGGGACCACTGAGGGAACTTAGTGCAAACAAGGTGCGCTGGTGAGCGTCACCAGCTCGGTGACCTACCAAACGGCAACAAAAGTCTTGATAGTGCCCCTTCAGCACAGGGCTGTCGCTTTGGGGTTATCAAACACTCTGCGCTATCATCCAATCTGCTGACGTCCTGAGTCGAGGTTGGTGCAACGTCTCTGGTGACATGACGTGTTAATAATCTTGAGGGCTTCTTCACTGAAGCGCTGGGCTGGAAACACCGGCGCCAACCACTCTGCATTGCCAAAGCCGAATCCAGAGCTAGCACACACCAGTGTCCACATGACCAATCGTCGTCCTGCCTCTAGAGAAAAAGATTCAAAACACATGAGAACACTGAGAACACCAAGAAGCTCAAACAAGCGCAGGTGAGAATATAGAAGAACATCGAAGGACTACTCTGAATCATTGGAATATTTCAAAGCGTGTTTCATCCTTTTGGCTTTGATCCCCCTTTATGTCAACATGTACTGAGACATGTCTACCCAAGCACTTGATCTAAGTAAGCCTACATTGATCAACCAAGCGTTATTTTCTGTTACGTAAGTGTTGCACTTTCTTGTTTTTATTACTTTTCATACCATTCTCGATCATGCTTCTAAGTGCTTCAATGTTGTACAAATTTCTACAAACATCTTGCAACAACACGGAGCAACGTAGAACACCAATGCAGAACCCATACTTTCCACAGGGAATTGGCATGAATCGGTAGCACCCTCCGGGTAGAATTGGCTAGGGTGGTGATATTATGTCATATCATGTCCACAGTGCTGAAAACATTAAAGCAAAAGAGATTAAAACAGCAATTGCCTTTCATTCAAGACAAGGGTTGAATATTCGTCCGTTTCTCACCCATGCTTCTAGGGCAGCTAGGGCTTCTTCTTGACCTTGTGAAGTCGTTGGATTGGCCAGCTCGAGAGACCATGAAAGACATGCTCCATTTGCTGAAGTAAAGTTCCAGCCACAACAACACGAGCTTCGATGGATAACACCTACTTTTTGCAAGTTTGTGGTAAATATTCACAAACTAGGTGTTGAAGGTTGAAGGGCCTTGTGTTTTGCAAAAGAGACTGGGGCTTTTTTTCCCCAAACAGTTTGCTGTTAGGGGTTCTGAATTCTTTCTTAAGATGTAACCACCCTTTCTGTCACTGCTGGTGTCTGCCCTTCTCCGCTGGCCATGCAGCATGTCTATTCATTTGTCTCCCATGTAATTTGTCTCCCAGGTTTACCGTCAGGGGTTCTCAATTCTTTCTTAAGATGTGTCCGCCCTTTCTGTGACCCTTGTGTTCATGCATTTTCATGTGTCTTCACTGGTGACTTTAAGCTTGTAGTATCGCAGTGATTTATCTTGATCAGGTTTTGATCTTTAAGTTGTTTGATGTTTTGGGGGCATTGAATTGCATTGGTCTCCTTGGTTTTTGCCAAGAGACATAGTATAACGTAGTCTGTCTATATCAATATCACAATATTTGCGCGGTGATCAAGCGGTATTGGGGCTCATATTCCTTTCTGCTTGGTTGTTGTTCAATTGTTTCTTAACCCTGCGCATTGGTGTTCTACGTTGCTCCACGTTGCTGCAAGATGTTTCTAGAACACTGAAACGTTTAGAAGCATGATCGAGAATTGTATGAAATGTAGAAGAAACCACAATATGTAACAAAAGATCATGCTATGTCCTAGTTTGTTTAGGCATTTGCTACTTTATGTTGCTGTGGTTGCTGTTATGTTTTTTTGAAGCGTTTTTTATATAGCGACACATCGTAAAAATGTGCACAGGTCCGTGAGATCACCAGTGAATACGGTGTCCCTTTGGATGACATTCTATCCAGTGGACTTTGAGCTTTAAAATAGTCAGGGGGGCAGGTGTTGAGGCTTGCTGCCCCATTGAACAGTAACCACGAGTCAGGTTGTCTTTTCCTTCTCCTTCTCCTTTTCGTGTTTTTTTCTTTTTCCGTGTCCTTTTCCTTTTCTCTTCCTTTTCATGTTCCTTTTTCCTTTTCTATGATCTGTATGCACAAAACATATATAAATACAAACCCTACAAAATTAAATGGCTAGGAGAAAGTGGCCAGCCACCACGTACCCCTCCCATTAACCATTTAGTTAGGAGTGGTGATCCATTTTCTGATCTAAACATTTGTTGGACCATTCCAACACTTAAGAGAAAGAGCCCCACGCTCTCAACACACTTCAGAACTTCGAGCCTCTTTCTCACCCAGAAGAACCTCACCTCTCACCTCTTACCTCTCATTTCCACCTCACCTCTCACCCGTGAAGAAGCGCAACTAAGTCCCAGTCCCCATTAGTTTGGCTTCCCGTCCACCGCGCCCGTTCCCGAATTCCCGGGTCCTGGAGGACCTCAGTTGCTTCAAGCCGTCCACCAGAGTGATCTGCTCCACAGTCCTCCTGGGCGGTTGATTCGACGCCCAGAAGGGTCGTTGGACGTCTCTCGTTTTTCGATGACACCCTGGAAGAACGACGATCCCATGGAACCTGAGTACACCCCTGACCGTTGATAGAGGAACATCGTCGACACCATGGGACCAGGATGGACCGTCAGGGTCGACATGTGAGTGACATCGACATCGATTACAGGAAGTCTGATGTCTCCCGTCCGACCCTGCGGGTGCGGATGCGTTGGTCATCGCGGGCGGGCTGTCATCGCGGTGTCTGTCAGTTGCCTCTCAGCAACTGCAGTTTGGCTCCACCCTTCGGCGATGGGACCGACCGTCGCCCTATGAGATGGTTTCCGGCCCGACTGACCATGCTCTCCGTGCTTCACCCTCACGCACACGGTGGCTTCACCCAGTCCGGAAGATGGGACATCGTCAAATCACCAGGTCCTCCGGTTTCACAGGGTCGTGCATCACATGAGCATCATGAAGCAACATTTCGAGAATTCGCAGCAAAGCCATGCCTCTAATTCGGTTAGATCACAGGAGTTGAAGTGGGCCGTTCTCATTCAAATCGCTTCCCTCGAATGGGGCCTTTCAACTGCACTGCTTGGCCGAGGAGGTTGGTGCTGCCAAGCATCCAATCCCCGACCCGTGCGTGGCATAGCCACCACCACCACGCGAGCAGCATGCCGGCCAACAGGAAAGCCAACCAGCGGACAGGACCTCGAGCCCAGTCGTAGGCGAAGCACACAAGGACGACCTGAGGAGGCTGGTGTGGGTGGTGTGGGTGCAGTTCGCCCGACCCCTCCACCGGCTGTGGTCTTAGACCACCGAACGCCAGCGAAGTGAACTGGTCCGCTTCTTCTGGCACCATGACCCACAGTCATTACAGTCATTTTGAGGTAAAACAAGACCATGGGGAGATGCAAGTGATCTGAGGCGTTTGGGGTGCTCGCTGCTCATTCCACACATTTCCACACATGTGGCTTTAGGTCGACGGATCCTTAAACACATAATCCCATGGAATTGGCATCATCTGTCATTCAGGGGGTGGTGCACTTGGCCCAAGGGTGTCATGGTTCGATTCTTATCTCAAGAGCCCAGCTATATTTCCCCATTCGGCAGTGAGGCTGGATGCTTGCCGTTTGCCGTTGATGAACTACTACGTATGCGAGCTGCCCTGGCTCTTCCCAACCCCCCCAGGTCGGTTGCCCAGTTCGTGGGGAATCATACCTCAAGCGCACCTCGTGGCTCCAACACCCCTAAGAATCCGGACCCGAACCAATGGACCCCTGCCGTGGAGCGCCCGTCCGGATTCCTAGGGGAGCCAAACAAAAAGAACTCCTTGCGATCCACGTGTGCTTCTACGCCCCACGTCTATCCTCTTCGATCTAATCTTATGCTTCAAAATGAAACTCCAAGACGTCAGTTCGAGCCATCGCATGTCATCACCACTTGCAGTTGGCGCTGAGGAAAGGAATATAGCCGTGTCGCCGTTTGGAGGATTCCGTGTCGCCCTTTGAGAAGCCTGAGGGTTACCCTCACCTTTTATGAGGTGATTAAGGTCCATTTCTTGCACCTACTCACTTTCAGGTTGGATCGCCGATATGATCCGATCTGCTGGAATCCACGATTTGCAGGTAATACCATGTTGCCCGGATAGGTCTACAGCTTCATGCTTTCTTCCGAACTTGGCGCACCGCGCCGCGCAGGTGCCAAATGGCCAGAAAACCGATGGAGGGCAAATACAGCAGCCGCTCAGCCACTAAGGTGCCTTGTGCCGTGTCGAGTGGGTCGGAGCCTGGCAGCCTAAGCCCTTCGAAGCTTTGGGGTGGTAAGGTGGATCGAAGACCTCCTGCAACACATGCCCGTTGCCCGTTTGATTGCTAAGGAGGCAATCAATACCTGAATGGACATCGCTGGAAGACGGACCTTGCCTAGCTTCAGTGAATGGCCAAATTGTTTAAATAGCCTCTTGGCGATCCTAACCAACGGCGACCGTGAATCTGACCCAAGCGACATAGGCACTTGGAGGAGGTCTGAACAATCTTTCCAACAAGGTTACCCAGAAGAAGAATTCTTCCCAGTAGAATCAGAATCCAGTAGAAATCTTCCTAGTAGAGTGACTAGATGGTACTAGAGATTCTTCCCAGCAGAACCTCCACAAGGTAACCCAGTACCAACGGCACCTTTAGAATGTCATATCCTTGGTGAGTGGTTCGAAAGGGACATCCCAAGGGACATCCCAAGGCCACATGAGAAAACAAGTGCTGGGGGACGAACAAGGGTTCATGCTGATCATGCTCATCCAGTTCCTCATAGGGACACTGTTCAACATCATTTGTTACTTTATGGGTTTCAAGGTGTCCACTTCCCATGGCTTTGAGATGCTGGTTTGGATGCTCTGTGAGACGGTTCCCCTTTTTCAAGTGTTCATAGTTCTCGGGCTTCACCCATTTCCACAAGTCCATTTTTCAGGGTGTGACACAATCCTGATCAGGAAATATCAGGAACCTGATTATCAACATTCTCAGTGAATTTCCTTCGGTTCTGACACTCCCTCGACCTGGAATCAAGCAAAAGCCAGGCTGCTATTTATATTCTATAGATGTCAGCGTCAAAACAAGCTCCACCCCCCCCGAACCACCCCGTTCCACGTCCCCGGCCGATGGGGAAGAGCAGGTTCGTCATGGGCAAAAAGCCTTGGACGGTGCGACCCACGGCGCTTCAAGAGGATTTTGCCAAATGTCCTCTTACATCCTAGATTCCTAGAGAGGACTAGCCATCATTCACCTGTCAAGTCTCAAAACCATTCAAAATAATCTATTGCAAGGGACGGTGCCTAGCTAGAAAACCAATGAACATTTCTTAGCTCATCCATTCTTCTGTCCCACCCATAGACAGCATCGCGTGCGCCGGTCGCCGGGAAGCTCAAGACGAAGATCGCCAGGCCCAGCACGGCGCCCTTCGCGCTGTGCGCGCCGCGCACGGTCAGGCGTTGCAGCGTGTGACCTTGGAGGAGGCGGGCTCAGTGCACCCACGTGTCCCTTGAGAGGCCAGCCAGGTTGGCAAACAAACATGTTTTAAAGAGTATAGATCACCTTTTGGACTATAGTTACCAGCAGCCTAGAATCTATACTTGCTAGTACTCTTGCTAGTCATTTCCCAACGTCCTAAACTGCGAAAAGTGTAGATGGCTGTTTCGCGACGGTTGAACCTAGCGAATAGGTGATCCGTGGGAATCCCTGAAAGCAAAGTGCAATGAAAGCAAAGCCTGCACCTAGCTTGAGGTTTTTGAAGGCAGGAGATTGGCGATTCGATATAAGATAATGAATAGCTATGCAAAACACCAACCCTCCAGCGCTTCGGGTGCGAGCAGTGAGCGTCAAAAGGCCCAAGTGAGCACCACATTTGCTGGGCAGAATGAATTGATGAGCAATAAACGTGTTAACACTCGATGCACAGTCAATGATGTGTCTTTTGGTCCTAGCCTCCATAACATTCGTCATTCCTCTCAGGCAACTGCTCTGACTCCAAGAATTGGAGGAGAGAGCAAAACACAGCAACAACCGCAACATCAACAAATCAAAATGGCGAACAACCGCAACCATCACTACAGTAACTCCAACAAAGGAACAACCTGAACTTTGATGGAAGTGGGTTGAAGCTGGGCATCCTCATTCTCATCAACAGCGGGCTAGTTTCTGGCTTGGGACTGTTCGGCACGCCGTTCACAAGAGCCATAACCCGAGAGTCGCCGATGGGGTTCATCTTGATACCGCTGCGCTTGCGCCAGCGGACATGCGGAGGCATGCAGTTGGCGCCTCCATGCGGTGCCATCGGTGCGTTGCGCCAACAGCACCGTGACCTGTTGCAACCTCGCCAACAGAGTGGTGCGTGTGGTATCCGGCGTCTTGGCTTGCAGACTTGAGAAGCATGTCAAATGCAAGAGCCGAGTACTTGGCTCTAGCCAGAGATAAATCGTTTAACACAGCTGCCATCACCCTGCCAAGGGGAAGCACACCTGCCGGGCATTCCCAGCATTCATGGCAGGGTCAGCAAGGATCTGCATTCCAACTCCTCCCAGCCAAATCGTCCGTTCGGCCTGAATCGCTCAATGTGCACATCGGTGCAGTGAGGGACAGAAACTCATGAAGCTGGTGAGAGTCCATATCCCACCAACCGCCCCCCCCGGCTCCGGTTCCAGCCACCCTTCTTTCTTTCGGCTTCGCTGCACTCGTCTCAGACGCACTCCAGCAACTGCCCAAGTGCCCCACCAGTTCTCCAAGGCTCCGGGACGTGCATCGTGCATCAGCGGCTTCCGTCCGATCCGTCGCCGGAAATGCCCGGGCTCCGGGCTGAGCTTCGGTCGACTCCAAGTGACTCAAGCTCTGCTTCTGGTGTGCTTCAACGATTTCTGAAAACAACAAGGGCAAAACAACAAACGACTGTGATCAATAAACTGGGGGGCATCAGAAGGTCGTTTTTTTCAACATTTTGGGGGGGTCAATCAGGAGAGGTCACCAAGACTAAATCTTTTCATGAGGAGAGATCCCACAGAATGGGAAGAAAGGATGTATATAGTATTGGCCAAAATCTGACCCCAAACTTATTATTGGGGGGGAGTTGTGTCCAAATTGTCAACAATGGGCTAGAACGTGGTCGAATATTCTATGAGTAAAGAGGACCCAAGGCAAACCAAACTAATTGGGGAGGTCCCATAATCCTACGTTTACACTAGTCCCTTCAAAACGTATGGAGGCTCCTTTCGAATCCATTTCTCCTCACCTCGATGCTCGGTATTCACCCTGCTCCCCACCCAAGTCTTGCCAGGCCACATCCGCACAACACGAAGCCCAGGTATGCTGCGCAGGGCAGCAGCAGTCTCGCGTCCTGCAAAGATTCCACCAGTGGCACAGCATCCATGGAGTAGTCGTAGCACAAGAAGACCGGCCAAAGCAGGAGCTTGATGTACCTGGGGTCATGAGCAGTCCGGTGGGTGATGCCCGGAATCTGTTCCCTGGAAAACTTGGCCATGTAGCTGGGTAACCACTTGGCTTGATGTACCTGGGAGGTGTTAAGCATAGCAGGAGCGAGGCCTCGTGTTTTTTGTTTGGCTGACACATTAATTTTTAGATATGTTTAGTCACCATAGCCATAGGACCAGTGGAGGATGACGGACACCGGGACCCACTCTCACAACTCTTGGCACGTCTCAAGTCGCTTGCAGGGCTGGCTGTAAAAAACAGCTCGTTGACACGTTGTTACACATTGACGAGACTCAGGTGACACGTCTTCCTGCACCCTGTTGCCGGGCGACATTCCATGCACCAAGGCGTAGGACAAGCCTCTGATGTAGGGGTCCTGCAGGCTCGGTTTCAGGGTTCCTTGCAAGTAGTGCTGAAATCATTTGCAACTCTTGCAATGAAGAGGGGTCCCATTTGTTCAGAAACCTCACTTGACCTGTTGTTGTACATGAGTTTGCAGTATGCTCTAAAATCACCATAGCACTTACATAGCTCAGTCTCGAGAATGTATTTCATGCATGCGGCAGGGCAGGCTCGGTTGCTGACGATTCAAGCGGAAAAGCCGACGATGCCACCAGTCATCCAAAGATGTATGAGAGCACGGGAGGAACACCAAAATCTTGGGCCACACAGGAAAGAACGACCTTGTTCTTCAAATAACATTCCAACAGCAACAAAGCCCAACCCATGCCCAAGATTCAACTCTTTTTGTCCATTGCTATTGGTATGGACCTGCTACAGTAATTTCTCTTCAGAAAGCTTTTGATTCCATGCACTTTGTCCCAGGAATCCTTTGACTCCCCTGAGTCGACTTGCCCAAAACTCAGCTGAAGGTCGACATGAGCGGCTGAAGACTCTGAGGACTCCAGAAGCGAAACTGCTCCACTCTTGGATGGTCATTCCAGTGTCGACATGAATTCTGCCTGGATTCCGCGACTGCTGGGATAAAAGCTCGCGCACTGTCTTCCTGTGACATCCCTGCGCAGTTCCGATGAATAAAACGGCATGTGCCCCCGAATATGGAGCAGCCTTCTGGCACAAAGCATTTTGAGGTGATTTGCCTCGAGGTTCTGATTGGACAGGACACCATGCACTAAGCACGCATGCACTTCGGTCAGCTGCCATCACTGGAGTCACATCAAGTTCTAAGGAATATAATACAATAGAGTTAGGCTTCGCTGCAGAATCACAGCCATGTAAAATGAGGAAATGGGATCACCAAACAATTCTTGCGAGAGGCTGACAGCCCCATTCATCCACCATCGTTTTGAGCATTTCGTCGAGGGCCTCCCTAATATCAAGCACATTGTGGCTGGCACGCACATCTCTGAACCGCCCAACATCCTGTTCTTTCAACCCATTGAGCCAAAAACAGGCCTTGCCACCAGGATGCTGTAGAAAATGAATGCCAAAGGGGCTGTAGATTGCAAGCCACAGTTCATCAAAAAGGTCTTCATCACGAGCACCCGCACCTGCACACTTGATGTTGGAAAAACGACATTGCCATTTCTTGTTTCCTCTTTGGAACAACATCTGCCCGTGCTTGACTTCCACTTTGACCTCTCCACGAACCCAATCTATATTCGAAGAAACTCGTGAAAAGGAGCAATCTGGATGGAGAATTCGATCCACCTCCAATGCAAGTTCTTCAATTCGCAAGCCACGCTGTGGTGCCATACGGTTCAATGGCACCCCTTTGTATGCGCAGTCCTGACGCATGGTCATTTGTTCCATTTGTTTTCCCAGCCAGCTGCTGACTTTCACATCCGATAAATCAATGCGATCCACAAGTTTGCACTGTCCTGCAGCCAGAAACTTGTAGAGAATTTGAGACCGCGCGGTTTGCCAACATTCTTGCCCTGAAGCACCTCTGATGACAATCTTATGACCACGACTTCCAGTCACGTTGCCATCTGAGGCAACTCCGGTCTGAAGGTCATGCTTGATGATATGCAAGCTGTCCGGGCTGAACATTATGAGATACAAATCATCAAAGGGAGCCTGGTCCCGAAATCCTGGCCATGGCAACTTGACACCCTCAGTGCGAGCATGCCAAACCCTGTTGGTCCTATCCCAAGACATCTGCGTACTCTTACACCGAACTTTGCGGCCATCCATACTAAAGTCATACTCAGCTTGTGAAGCCGACCTGCGAGCTCCATTGCAACGAGTCCCGCGAGTGGGCTCTTCAATTTTGCTGTGCGGATGCAGCCGGATCAGCTCCGTTTTGCAAAGTTCTTTCAGGATCATCCCGCGTCGCCTCCCAGACAGCAAGGACAGTTCATGGCCAGCATGGCCTTCATAGGCCTTGCTGGTCCGGCTGGAATCATTCAGAATGTGCTGGAACTGGGGGGCGTGCAGCACCAAAAAGGTCAAGTGCCATCCAAGTAAAGCACTGGCCAAAATATGTACTACAGGCGGCAGCTTTCGAGCCATGATTTGCTTGCGTGAACCTGGCACGGTCCACGTCACCATGAGATTCAGTTGAGATAAGATTGACTTCAGGCGACACAATCACCAAAAGGTGGTTTACCTGGACCCCCACTCAAAAATACTGATCGTGGGGTTTGTGCGATCTGCCCACTGTAGATGATCTGAAAGACATCTAGTCCTTGATCCCACCATAGCTCCAGGTTTTCCCCCTGCCCTGCACTCCCTCCTCCACCACGGCGATGGGGTTGCTGTAGGGGTCCATCCGCGCGATCTGCGTCCCAGACGTGTACCACACGCGCCAGGCGCAGGCGGTTGAACCCAGCAGCAGTAGCAGGAAGATGCGCAGCCAGCCGTGAAGACACCTGGAGCGAGTTGTTTGACAAGAAAAATCCACAGAAAGAATCACTGAGTGGAAAATTTTCCTGACCCCTATAGAGGTTTTCCGGTTGATTTTCCTGCCAAGAACAGGGTGAAGGATCAACATAAAAATAAATAAGGATCAAAATAATAATAAAGCAATGAGATCAAAAGAAAAATTAATAAGGATCAACAAAAAACAAAATCTGGTGACATAATAACAAAAACAATTGACAGACGAGGATCAAAAACAAAACAAACAAGAATCAACAAAGAAAGAACAGTAATGTGTGCAGTGGCAACAGTAGTAGTGACCGTCGTCGTCGTTGTCGTCGTCGTCGTAGTAGTAGTGGTAGTAGTAGTAGCAGTAGTAGTAGTAGTAGTAAGTAGTAGGTACTAGGTAGTAGGTAGTAGGTAACAGGTAGGAGGTAGTAGGTAGTAGCAGTAGTAGTAGCAGCAGCGGCAGCAGTAGTAGTAGTAGCAGTAGTAGTAGTAGTAGTCGTGGTAGTCGTAGCCGTGTTGTGGG